TGTATAGGCTTTGTTTTCCAGTTTTGTTTCATTGTAGAAGGTGCCAGGCTGTAAATACCCAGAAAAGCCTCCTCATCTCAGATTGCAGTCCCTTTTAAACCCAGTCAGCCACAAGGGAGCATGAGCAGTGCTGCAGCTGGGGTAGCAAACTGTCACTCACTGTGCAAGTGCATATTACTCATTGAATAAGAGGAGGAGGAGAATATTGAAAGCTAACATCCTGTCAATTCAATACAGACTCGGCAAACAGAACTGTACATGAAGTTTGGGCGTGCAAAGCGCGGGGAAGACCTCAGATGTGAGATGAATAATTATGATTACCCAGAGTACAAAAGATACAAAGAATCTGAACTGACCAGCTTATGTTATATCCTTCGCATACTTATATGTGTAACTGTAAGTCCATTTCTTTTTCTTCAGTTCTCAAAAGGACATGGTCAGACCTCACCAGTGCTCTTTGAACATGGCAGTTCTTTGTAAATTTCAACTCCATGCTGTCCACACTGCTGACAGTTGATCTCTGTATTTATATGCCTGGAGGTAGGGGAGTGTCGAGGGAGTGAATGGTGTGGTGTACCAGGGAGCACCATAGATTTTTCACAGATTTTTGGGGAGTCGATAGGACAGAACTAGATTTTTTTCTGGAAGAATGATACTGTATGGGACCAGATTCAACTGATTAATAGTGTAGCCCACAGAGGGTGTATAAATACAGACAGCAAAAATGTGGGTCATGGGTGTAAAGTGAGGTGGTCATTAAGCTCTTCCCTACCTCCTACCCATCTACACCTGCCCCCCTTGCTTGGACCACACCCATCTTCAACCTCAATCTTCAATGTTTTGTAACAGCATCTGGCACAGCTGTGACGCCATCACATTGACAAAATCTGTCCATGGACATACATATAAACACCTAGCAAAGCACTCAAAATGGTTGCCACATTTTGTGATGAGGTTTTTTTGAAAAATGAAAAAGTACACTGTCAGGGACACTGGGTCAGACATGTGTATAGGTGGGAGGCTCCACTTCTCAATCGCTACTGTGCAGACTCTAAGGTGGCAGCCGCCACATCCGGTATATTTTGGCTTAGTTTTTTTTAGAGTGGGAGGAAGCGGAGACACATCATCCATCTTTCATTGGTATAGCCTTTATCCCTTTCTTACGCAGCAGCAGTGTAGAGATGACAGAAAATGAGGTAGAAGGAGATGCAACAAAGGTCCGAAGTTGGATTTAAACTGCATATGTTGTAGTTATTATTGGTGGCTTCTTAAAGGGCCAGTGTGTAATATTTGGCATGGTTTATTATCAAATCTGAATCTGAATCTGAATATTCTACCCATTAATATGTTTATATAAGTGTACAATCGCTATAAAATAAAATTCGTTTGGTTTTCGTAGCCTTATAATTATGCTTTTATATATATATATAGCAAGGGCCTTGCTTTAGAGAGGTCGCCATCTTGCACCGCCATGTATGTAAGGCAGACCGAGTGGACAATCCAGCCAGCCAGAGAACGCGTTTCACGTGTATAAATAAACCAACGAAGACAGCGGGAGGAAGGAAGAAGGAGGAGGAAACAGCAGTGTTAGTAGTTCGTAGATAGAGAGTAGTGAAAAGTCTTTTTAGTTATAAAGTTTGCGAATGGACCACACTTACCACGCAACAGGAGAGAATGAACCCGAACCGTCATCTGCGAGGAAAAGAAGACGCAACTTCACTTCTTGTGATGCACTCTCTGTGGCGCTTTTCCTCCTGATGATATATCTCCCCAACGATGGTAGCACCTAATCCCATTCTGTGCAGCAAAATGTGAGCGGAGGATTCAGCCTCTCTTCTCGCCCGCTCAGCATCCAAGTTCCTCATCTGTATGCTCCTGCTCAAACAGGTATGGCTCTGGGTCTGTGTCCGCTACAAGAAACTCTTCAAAATCGCGTTCAAAGTCGTCCATTGCAGCTACTATAGTCCGGAGATATTGCTAGGCTAAATAAACAACTGAGCTCTGTTTACAGGCCAGGGTTCAACGCTAAGGATTTTTTTCACTTGCCCGGTCGGGCAAGTTGGTCACAGATCTACCTGCCCGAAGTCAGTTTTTACTTGCCCTATAAAAATTGTTTAATTTAAGCGGCTATCAATTAACAAAGACTGCAGTTATTTTCATGTTATGTAATCTTTATTCACACTGTATTTATTAATTAAAACAACATATGTCATGTATTGTAGCTTAATTCCTACACAAATATGACAGTGTCAGGGCTTAAAGTGAAAAATTTGTCAATCATTCTCCGTCTATAATTTTGTGCCCATGCCCACCTCTATTTATTTTTCACCCCTCTCTCCAGTTCTGCTGTATTAACACCAGGTTTAATATATTTTGCCTCCATCTCTCTGCCCTGCTCAACTCTACTTCAACGCTACTTGGCTCTCTCACTACTCTACCAGTAGACTACCACATCCACCTGTTGCACAAAACGCACACAGCAGTGTTTCCCCTAGGATGGAGTTGTAGCAGCGGAGGTGAAGCACACGCATGAAAAATAATTTTCACATGCGTGAAACTTTTTTGTATGCTTGCAAAGCACAGCCTGCTGGGATGTTTCTGTGTATCTACTGGCACCAGAAGGGCTCTTTAGGACTAAGTACATACAGTACATGTGTGCACAGTAATGAGCAGGTGAAATGTCTGTCTAGCTTAAATATGAGGTGTCTCAAGATTTAGGAACATACAATTGTATTGAATATAATAAAGTAAAAAGTCACTTGACATGCTGCTGTTTTGTGCTATGACCTATTTAAGTGCTGGAAGTTGTTATTTACGTGACAACGCCTGAACGCAACACAAGCTCAGCATGAGTGTCGTGCTACGCTGCTCGGAGTGCAGCGTGTTTGTCTGTGCGTAACAGCAATCTGATGGTTATTTACACACTGTCCACAACAATAACTTTGTCAGCTGACAAACTGCACCGGGCTCAGGGTCAGGTTTGGTCAGGAAAATGCGGCCCGAGCCGCTCTAGCGTGCTCACCTGTGTGTGTGGCGTAACTCCGCCGTGCACGATACAGAGAGGAGAGGAGAATTGTTAACGCGTGACCATGTAGAGACAGAAATAACACGATGACATAACACCATAAATAGTATGTTGTTATGTTATTATATGAAGCGTTTGTCTCGCAAAATAATATTAATGGGCGCTGTGGGCAGGACATTGTTACACAGCTGTGCCTGTGACTTCAGGCAGAGAGACCGCTGCATCAGAGCCGAAGGAGCACGTTTTAAAATACATTTATTTTATTAATTAAATATTAACTTTTACTATTTTTAGCAACTTGCCCGATCGGGCAAGTGAGTTGTTAGTTTACATGCCCGACCTTGAGTTGTACTTGTCCCGGGCAATCGGGCATTCCTTATTGTTGAGCTCTGCAGGCTACGCTGTCAGTCAGTGTGCGGGCTGGAAATTGGTGGAGCAGAGAGGGGAGGGGGTGCCCGCTAGGTATTGTAAACGAGTATGTGTGTATGGAGTGTGTGTGTTATGCTAGAAAGTCAGAGTTTGGGACGGAGTCTTTTACCCCCTGGAGTGTTACCGGAGTTTTTGGAGCGTTCAAATAAACTGGCCTTTTTCCCGAACGCTCCTCTGGTCTCCTGCTCGTGAGGGATTCATTACAATATCGTAACATGGTTTAGATTTCTAAATAAACATTTACCTCGTCGCTAGATAGACCTACTCCTGAAAAACTCTTTTCTGCGCAAGGCTTTTTGTCCCTACGAGGCCACCGTCAATTACCCGATGGGAGGGGTGAGTGAGTGAGCCCTGCAATCTAGAATTTGACCACTGATGTCACTGTTTTCAACGGTTTTCAACCCATTTTACACAGTGGCCCTTTAACCTGTAATCCATTGGAAGCACCCATTGTCCAGATTCATTATTTTTCACTCTTCATATTACTTACAGTCCCCCACTCATTGTATTTTATTGCATTGAATGTTTTGGTCTTGTCTTACTGTATATGCTTTGACATTGTTCATGGATTAACCTGGGGTCACATGTAATGGGGTCATGTGCAATAGGGCTTATGTGCGATATTATGATATCCCTGGTCACTTCTGGTGTTGTCATGGGCTATACTTGATGTATTTTTCGAATGTATATTGTGCACCTCTTGTGTCTTCTGTATTTGTGGCTGCTATGAATTTTAACTTTGTCTTTTGTCGTTCACTACATTTTTACATCAACCTGCCTATACGGATAACAGCTGGAAATTAGCTGTGGGCTACAATCTGGTGTATTTACATATACTCATGTATTTGCTCATTAATATGCATTGTCTCTATTTCTAAATAAATAAAATAAATGAATAATTAAAAAACTTTAAATATTTTGTATTGGCACAAAACATCTAGTTTATTCGTTTTTCACAACATTGCGCTTTAGCAAAATTATTAGGCGCCCTTAATGTGGATACAGTTAATAGCTGTATTTATCCTTCTCTTTTTGATGATATCAGTAAGACCTTTTGGTTTTTTTTCTCTTTTTTACAAACTTTTCCTTTTTTAGCATCTTAATTGATTTAATCAAAGAATATCCTACAAATCAGGGCTAGGCAAAAGTCTATATGTATCCTTACTATTGACTATCAATGATTTATAAAATCAACTATCTAATTTACAGAATAAACAGAACAGAACTCCTCATATTTCTTTAATTGGACAGATCACAGACCTGTATGGAGCCCAAAGTGTTCAATAGTAAATAATAACTTGGAAATAAATAATCATGGATTAAAATATATTAAACAATAATCTGTAACAACCAATTATGGTTTACAAGAACAGAACTCACGTACATATACTGCACGATCACGCACACATTTCATGGAACAGAAGATTGCTGTATGCTACCACAGCTCCTCTACCTGGAAAAACAGCTATGGTCGCAGTCATTTACAGCATGTAATAAATCACAAAGCCCAACAGACAAGCATGTTTCCCACTGATTGAGTACTCACAGGGTAAGTGGAGTCTGCTCGCTCTTTCCTCCGCAGCCAAGGCACAATCAGCCCTTTGGCCAGCTAAAAGAGAGAGAACAGAAAGAGAGACAGAGAGAGAGGAAGTATTAAGAGTCCTTGCAGTAATATTGTAAAGACATGAGGGTTGAAATGGACAGACTTTAGTTAGTGTAGCAGGAAGGAATCCGCAAAACAATGCATGTTTTAGGCTGCTCCTTCAGCATAGACCTATATGTGCTTACACTGATGAAAATGCAAATTGAGGCTTGGTTACTAAAATTCAAATATGTAGAAATAAACTTCAGGTATACAGAGCTGTGGCTAAATGGATAAATGTTTTGCGTAGGACAGGTTTATGATTATATTCTATTAAAATGATGATTTCACTGCTGACAACAGCGCTGTTAAACCAACAATTCATCCTTCAACCAAATACAGTAATTGTGCTTAGGCTCATTCGATGAGCATTTAGAGATCAATCAGACTCACTTCTCTGTTTGAACACAAACCACTGTGACAGGAAACCATCATTATATCAAATTTGCAGTGTCTTGATCAACCAGATTTCTCTGAATAAGGCTTCCACTAAAGCATTGCAATATGCTGTAAATAGCCCATAAATACAGTGCACAGTAGAGTGTAGGTAGACCGACATAGGGCTGTAACCGTTCCATTATTCATGCTTTACCTACAAGGACAAACATGTGACTCAGAAATACAGTATAATAAGAAAAAAGATAATGATGTAACTCAGGTAGAGGCTACATGAAATTCTTGTGATATAAATGTATGATTTGTTTTGCCTGATGACTGGTGGATCTCATGCAAACTAAAGCTTCACTAATCTGAAACAGAATGATGGTAAATTGTGGTAAATTACATATTATCAGTCATATACATTATGTGCTTGGTACAGACAAGTTTAATTAGTAAATATTTGATGCAAATATTTATCTAAGATAAATAAATTATTGGTTCTTGGTTTAGAAATATACACACATTGTTTTGCAACTCTGGGTTTTGTGAGGCTTTTTTTTAATAATGAAACCTCAATATTGGTTTGTTTAGAGAATCTGTATTTGCCAAGGACAAAGGACAGTGGGCTGACGAGATATGGATTAAACTAAAACTGTGTACTTTTATGATAATAGAAAGTGACCTTGGTTATGTTGTATATAATTTGTCTAAAACAAGCTAAGATCTCTACATGCTCAGCTCAGATCTAGTATTTTACCTTTGACTGTTGAAATTGGATGGTATGTTACTTGAAAAAAAGAAAAGTGAATCTGGAATGTGCGGTCTAAATGATATTAAAAATGACTTGCATTTTGTTTTCTGCTGTCTTTTTTATTGCAAACTGTGCGGTGCTTTGTTTAGTAAAAAGTAAAAAGGCATGGCGTTCTGTCCCTGCATAACACTGAACAACAGTGCGCGCAAACTATCTCTGACTTCTACAGCAGTTTGACCAACACATTCTCATCCCAACACCTCAAATACCGCTGCTTTGTCAGTGGACTTACATGTCAAAATATGACACCCTATAGGTACAAATCTCCATTAGTTTAGGATTTTAAGGGACAGTGTGTCAATGTGCATTTATTTCCTTAGGTTAAGGTATCAAATGCACGAGTAGGTTTTGAAAATACATCATGCTTTGGCTTAAAGCAGGTATGGTTGTTACTAACATAATGTAACGTCATGTGACATACATCAATAGCGTTGCATGCTACACGTACTAGCACACTGTGTTGTCATTAAAATAACCAGTGACTTTTACGTTTACACAGGAAATGAACATAGGGCTCTCGAGTGAAAGTCCAGAGGTTGTTTGACCCATCCACCAACCCTCCCTCCCTCCCTCCCTCCCTACTATGGCTGTTGCCCGCTGTGTCAGAAACAGCTGCTGCCTGGTGCCGGGAACTGCCCATTGGTCCGACAGCCCATTGGTCCAACATCCCATTGTTCCGACCGTATTAAACCCATTGTTCTGAAGTCCGTTCCGAAATCATCATGATGCCCTGTGGTTAAGGTCTGGTTAGGTTTAGGCACAAAAACCACTTGGTTAGTGTTCGGAAAAGATCATGGTGTGGGTTAAAATGAAAAAGAAAGTAACAAACAAATAAGCCGTGAGCCTGCTCCGCCTCAAGCCTTTCCCAGCTGACCCAGAGCCGGTCGCGGCACACCATCAAGGCAGAAATACGCCCGCCGGGAGCCATTCAGCACCGCGGACCGTCGGACTACTGGGATGTCAGACCAATGGGCTGTCGGACCAATGGGCTGTCGGACCAATGACATGGACCCCTGGTGCCTATCATACTGCTGCAAAGGGTGCCCCTGTGCATCATTCTCTGACGCGGTGAGATCAAGGACAAAACAGTCGTATTTGACAAGCTTGTTTGACTGTGGTACATACAGTCAGGTCCATAATTATTTGGACAATGTTACAGTTGTCATCATTTTGCCTCTGTACACCACCACAATGGGTTTTAAATGAAACAATGAATACCTGCTTAAAGTGCAGACTCTCAGCTTTCATTTAAGGCTTTTTTCAAAAATGTAGTATGAACCGTGTAGGAATTACAACCATTTCTTCACACAGTCCCCCAACTTTAAGGGCTCATAAGTATTTGGACAAACTAACATAATCATCAATTAAACAGTCAATTTTAATACTTGGTTGCAAATCCTTTACAGTCAATGACTGCCTCAAGTGTTGGACCCATAGGCATCATCAGATGCTGGGTTTCTTCCCTGGTGATGCTCTACCAGCCCTTTACTGTAGCCGTCTGCACTTCCTGCTTGTGTTTTGGGTGTTTTGCCCTCATTTTTGGCTTCAGCAAGAGAAACGCATGCTCAGTTGGATTCAGGTCAGATGATATGACTTGGCCATTGCATAACATTCCACTTCTTTGCCTTAAAAATGTCTTTGGTTGCTTTTGCAGTATGCTTCAGGTCAATGTCCATCTGCACTGTGAAACATCGTCCAATGACTTTTGAAGCATTTGGTTGAATCTGAGCAGATAATGGTGCCCCAAACACTTCAGCTTTCATCCTGCTGCTCTTGTCAGCAAGACAAGACTTCACTAGAATAAATACAGAGGGTTTATCACAAGATGCAAACCATTGGTTAGCCTTAAAAATTGAAGGCCAGATTAGAGTTTGTCAAAAACCATCTAAAAAGCCTGTACAGTTGTGGAACAGCATACTATGGACAGATAAAACAAAGATCAACTACCAGAATGATGGGAAGACAAGAGAAGGAAGAAGGTAAGGAACTGCTCATGATCCAAAGCACACCACCTCATCAGTGAAGCATGGTGGAGGTACTGTTATGTCATGGCCATGTATGGCTGCCAGTGGAACTGGTTCTCTTGTATTTATTGATGATGTGACTGCTGAGAAGAGCAGCAGGATGAAAGCTGAAGTGTTTGGGGCTACATTATCTGCTCAGATTCAACCAAATGCTTCAAAACTCATTGGACGATGTTTCACAGTGCAGTTGGACAATGACCTGAAGCATACTGCAAAAGCAACCAAAGACATTTTTAAGGCAAAGAAGTGGAATGTTGTGCAATGGCCAAGTCATATCATCTGACCTGAATCCAATTGAGCATGCGTTTCTCTTGCTGAAGCCAAAACTGAGGGCAAAACACCCAAAACACAAGCAGGAAGTGCAGACGGCTGCAGTAAAGGGCTGGCAGAGCATCACCAGGGAAGAAACCCAGCATCTGATGATGCCTATGTGTCCAACACTTCAGGCAGTCATTGACTGTAAAGGATTTGCAACCAAGTATTACAACTGACTGTTTAATTGATGATTATGTTAGTTTGTCCAAATACTTATGAGCCCTTAAAGTTGGGGGACTGTGTGAAGAAATGGTTGTCATTCCTACACGGTTCATACTACATTTTTGAAAAAAGGCTTAAATGAAAGCTGAGAGTCTGCACTTTAAGCAGGTATTCATTGTTTCATTTAAAACCCATTGTGGTGGTGTACAGAGCCAAAATGACGACAACTGTATCATTGTCCAAATAATTATGGACCTGACTGTAGTAGTAACACAAGAGAATGAAAACAAAAACAACTTTACTGGTTAACAGCAGCATATGGGGAAGCTACTTTAAGTCTGTAACTAATGAAGCTACAAGCTAATCTTCATCAGAGACAAACTGATTCTAAGTGGCCCTGAAATAGCTCACAGCTTCAAACTCAACATGAAAATAGCAATGCTAACAACTATAGCTAGCTACTATGGCTAGCAGCAGTCTTTCTCGATGGTGCAGGCTAGCAGTAGGCTGGTAGCCAATCATAGGACCTTGATGTCTGGCAGCCAGCTTTCATCACGTGGATTTGGGCACAGTTTTATTTGAAGTGGGTTAAAAAACACAACAGACACAACCAGGTACCGGTAAAGGTAGTTCATATGATTAGGTGACGCTACTCCCAAACTTGGGTTTTAAGTGGTGCTGCGTAGCCACTAAGAGAAAAAAAATGAAAGCAAAACATGATATAGGAAATATGCTACTCAAATTTGAAATGATTCTTCTCAACACAGGTTAACTGTGGCTTATTTTCTGGTTCATTCATCATATTCATAATTCTAGAAACTCAGCAGTAACTACTTTACCTTGATAGTTGAAGGCTAGAGCGGCTACTTTAAACTTGGAAAACCATCTGGCTTCAAAGGCAGGAGCACTATAGCCTTCATTATGATTCCTGGATGCTCATTTAGCACCCTACCTTTTCACTGTGCTTCATTGTGTCAGCAGCTGTGACCCATTTAAGGGGCTGCCTTCTTCATAGGACGAGGACTACAAAGGTGGAGGCTTCATAAGAGTGAAGGCCACTGTGCTAAGCAGCGATCAGTCCACACAGAGGATTTACCATAACATTATATAGGACATGTTTTCTGGAAACACACATTAGTCCCACTTTTCTAAATATGAAAGTGACCTTCCACATGAGATTACATTTAGTAGGAGGAAAAAAATCAGACATCACAAACAGGTACTTCCAGACACACACAAAAACTAATCATAATGACCTAAATGTCTGCACTGGC